ACCACACCCAGCTAATTTTAAATTTTTTTGTGTGGAGTCAGAGTCTCACTATATTGCCCAGGTTGGTCTTTGTTCTTTTCTTTATTATTAATCTGTGTCTTTATATTTAAAGTGGGTTGCTTGTGGATAACATATAGTTGGGTCTTGATTTTTTATTCACTCTGACAGTCTCTGATATGTCCTTTTTAATTGGTATAGGTAGATCATTGACATTTAAAGTTGTTGATGTAGTTCAATTAATATTTATTCTATTTGTAATTGTTTCCTGTTTGTTGCTATTTTTTTTTCTATATTCCTTTCTTTTTCTGCCTTCTCTGGTTTTAAGTGAGCATTTTATATGATTTCATGTGTATGTTTTACATGTAAATAGACTAAAGAACCCAAATGAAAGCAAAGGTTGTCAGACTGACAAAAACCCTATCTATAATTTTTAGGCATACTTTAAACCATAAGAATAGAAAACAATAAGAATAAGACAATGGAAAAATATACATCATGCAAACTTTAATTAAAAGAAAGTCAGACCAGGCACAGTGGCTCACGCCTATATTCCCAACACTTTGGGAGGTCGAGGTGGGTGGATAACTTGAGGTCAGGCATTCGAGACCAGCTTGGCCAACATGGTGAAACCCTGTTTCTACTAAAAATACAAAATTTAGTCAGGCAAAAGTTAGTCCCAGCTACTCAGGAAGCTGAGGCAGGAAAATCACTTGAACCCAGGAGGGGGAGGTTGCAGTGAGCTGAGATCACACCACTGCACTCCAGCCTGGATGACAGAGTGAGACTCCATCTCAAAAAAAAAAAAAAAAAAAAAGAAAATCAGTGTCATTATGTCAGTATTGGACAAATTAAGCTTTAAGGGATAAAGTTTGTGAGCTATAAAGAGGGCAGTTTCATAATGATAGAGTAAGTTCAACAGAAAAATATAAAAATTCTGTACTTATAAGACAAAAATTTACATAATTACCAGAAGAAATATAGTAATCATCAAGCATAGTCAAAGATTTTAACACAACTCTCTTAGTAACTGATAGAAACAAGCATACAAAAAACTTTAGTACACATATTGTAGATTTTAAATTCTTTACCTGATTGATATATAGAGAGAACACTGTTACTGCTTTTGCAACACTGCAAAATGTCTGAAGTTCTGCAAAAGTAATGTTGTTTTTAAGTGCATAGAAAATGTTTCCCATAATAGATCACATGCTTGGATTTAATGAAAGTCTCAACAAATTTCCAAGGTTTGAAATCACAGAGAATGTTTTCTAGTCTCAGTGGAATTAAACAAAAAATTAATGAGAGTACAGAAGTAGAAAACCACCAAATTTTTGCGAATTAAGCACATGAGATTAAATAATCTATGGATTAAAAGAGAAAATTAGAATATATTTTATACTAAGTCATAATGAAAATATGACATCAAAACTTGTGGAATGTATCTAAAGTAGAGCTCAGACAGAAATTTATGCCTCTAAATGCAAATATTAGAAAATAAGAAAAATTAAAAATCAGTTTACCAAGTTTATACTTCAAGCTAGAAAAAGATAACCAAATTAATCCCAAAGAAAGTAAAAGGAAGGGGGCCGGGCATGGTGGCTGATGCGAGTAATCCCAGCAGTTTGGGAGGCTGAAGCAGGGGGATCACGAGGTTAGGAGTTTGAGACCAGCCTGACCAACATGGTGAAACCCCGTCTCTACTAAAACTACAAAAAAATTAGCTAGTCGTGGTCGTGCACGCTTCTGATCCCACCTACTCAGGAGGCTGAGGTAGGAGAATCGCTTGAACTCAGGAGGCAGAGGTTGTAGTGAGCCAAGATCGGACCACTGCACCCCAGACTAGGCGACAGAGCAAGACTCTGTCTCAAAAAAAAAAAAAAAAAAAAAAAACCAGAAAAAAAAAAAACAGTAAAAGGAAGGAAATAGTGAAGATAAAATCAGGTATCAATGAATAGAAAGTAGAAGTGGCTGGCAGGGTGGTTTACACCTGTAATCCCAGCACTTTGGGAAGCCAAGGTGCACAGATCGCTTGAGCCCAGGAGTTTGAGACCAGCCTGGGCAACATGGAGAAACCCCTTACCTACAAAAAATAAAAAAAAAAGTAGCCTGTCACGGTGGTGCATGCCTGTAGTCCCAGCTACTTGGAATGGTTAGGTAGAAGGATCAGTTGAACCGGCGAGGTTGAGGCTGCATTGAACCATGATGGTGCCACTATGCAAGTAAAAGCCAGTTGGTTCACTGAATAGGTTAATAAAATTGATAAACCACTAGCATGACTGATAGATCCATATGGCCAATAAGCATATGCAAGGTGCTCAGCATGGTTAGTCATAAGAAAATACAAATAAAAACTACAGTGAGCTACCATTATAACCCCACCAGAATGGCTAAAATTAGAAGGATTGACAGTACCAAATGTTGATAAGGAGACAGAGCAACCAGAACTCTCATATATTGCTGGTACGGGGTTGTTACAAAAATTTGGAAAACTCTTTGGTAGTCACTAGTACAGCAAATTACAGATGCTCCTTGGCTTATGGCAGTGTTATGTTAAGATAAACTCATCGTAAAGTGAAAATATCATAAGTAAAAACTGCATTAAATACACCTAACCTGCCAAACATAACTTACCAGTTTAACTTAGTCTATACTGTAGAGCAGCAGTCCTAACTTTTTGGTGCCAGGGACTGGTTTAGTGGAAGATAATTTTACCACAGACTTGGGATATGGAGGATGGTTTTGGGATGAAATTGTTCCACTGCAGATCACCAGGCATTAGATTCTCATAAGGCGTGTGCAACCTAGATCCTGTGCATGTGCAGTTCACAAGTGGGTTTGTGTGCCTGTGAGAATCTAATGCTGCTGCTGATCTGACAGGACGGGGAGCTCAGGCAGTAATGCTCCTGCTGCTCACCTCCTTCTGTGCGGCTCAGTCCTAACAGGCCACAGACTGGTACCAGTCCATGGCCTGGGGTTTGGGGACCCCTGTTGTAGAGTATCAGTTGTTTACCCTCATGATCATGTAACTGACTGGAAGCTGTGGCTTACTGCCACTGCCCAGCATCACGACAAGAGCATCATACCACATATTGCTAGCCTGGGAAAAGATCAAAATTCAAAATTTGAAGTGTGATTTCTGCTGAATGCATATCACTTTCACACCATTGTAGTCAAAATTGTAAGTTGAACCACTGTAAGTTGGGGCCATCTATATACTTATGTACCATATATACCTCATGACCTCTCATATTTCATTTCTGGGTATGTAACAAAGAGAAATGATTGCTATAACCCACAGAAGACATGAAAATGAATGTTCACAGTAGTTTTATTCATTTTTACCCAAAACTAGAGACATATCAAATGTCCAACAATAATATAAATTGTCATATATTCTGTTATATGATGGAATGGTAGATAGCAGTGAAAAAGAACTGACTGCTGCTATCTACAACTACATACATGAATCTTAGAGATTTACCACAGATGCATGTTGAGCAAAAGAAGCCAAGCACAAGAGAGTACAATACATATGTAAAAATTCATGGAGCTGTACACTTAAGATCTGTCCACCTTAGTGAAAAAATGTGTATATGTATGTTATTACAGTTCAAACACAGAAAATAGGTTTTACAACAGGATCTCACACTTCATATTTGAATTCATAAAATTTTTAGTCAAGAGAATATTATTCGGCAAAATTAATGTTGTCTTTAAGATTCTACAGTTTGAATAGCATCTATTTTCTGATCTAACCTAATATGATCAGGAGACCAGATTGAACTGCCTTCCGATAAAGGACCAAGAATTTTTTTCTCTACTTTCCATTTGGTGCAGCATACCAAACTAAAATCTAGAAAACCTATTATATACAATTCTTACATTATTTATTTTATTTTATTTTATTTTATATATTTATTTATTGAGATGGAGTCTCTGTCACCCAGGCTGGAGTGCAGTGGTGCAATCTCTGCTCACTGCAGCCTCCACCTCCCCAGTTCAAGCGATTCTCCTGCCTCAGCCTCGAGAGTAGCTGGAATTAACAGGCACCCAACACCACACCCAGCTAATTTTTGTATTTTTAGTAGAGACGGGGTTTTACTATGTTGGCCAGGCTGGCTTCAGAACTCCTTACCTCAAACAATGCACCCTCCTCAGCCTCCCAAAGTGTTGGGATTACAGGTGTGAACCACCATGCCTAGCTGAGAATTTTAAACATGGATTTTTAAATTTAACAATAGCTAATTAGAAAAGGTCATCTACTGTTGAATTTAGGTTGCTCAGTCATAATTTTTTCTTTGAATTTACCTGTAAGATAATATTTTATATGTAATATTTGATGACTTATTTAAAAGTTAAATTTTATGAGTAAAAAATTACTTGGCTTTTATGTTTATATATTGTATAAAGAGGAAACAGTTTGGTATCATTTTTTCATTTACCATAGATGCTGTGTTAGTTATTGATGTCCATAAGAAATTAAGTACTTAGCTTATAAAATATTTACTAATTACAAAAAAATTTTTTTAAATGGCTGAGCACCTTGGCTCATGCCTGTAATCTCAGCACTTTGGGAGGCCAAGACAGGAGTATCAGTTGAGGCCAAGAATTCGAGACCAACCTGGCAACATAGACTCTTGTCTCTACATGAAAAAAAAAAAAAATACAAAATTAACCAGGCATGGTGGTGCATACCTGTAGTCTCAGCTATTTGGGAGGCTGAGATGGGAGCGTCGCTGGAGCCCAAGAGGTTAAGGCTGCAGTGAGCTGAGATTGTGCCACCACACTCCAGCCTGGGCAACAAAGTGAAGTCCCATCTCAAAAAAATTTTTTAAACAATTTTTCTAATTTAAAATTGATTGTCTGAGGTTGGTGCACTTGACCTATTTCCTAAATAGTCAATATTTAGCAATTATTTAAAATAATAGAATGAGAAGTAGTGAATTGATACATACAGAATCCTGAAGAATAATATATAAGAATGATATATTTTCTTATAGGCAGAGCTTCTAGATGCTGCTGCTGGCATTCATGTGCGATTCAGATTAGGTGGAGTAAGTATGGATGAATGCTTATTTAGTAGTTTTAAAGCACATTTTTATGAAATTGAAACAATGTAATTTTTTAAATGTAAAACATTTTTGTAGTTAACATTACAATGGTTCTTTGAACTTTTCCATCTATAGGTTAAATTTCCACCTGATATATACTATAAGATTTTTACTCACAGACCTATTGAAGATCTGTGTGCTAACAGCCCTAGAAATTATGCAAAACTTCCAGCAAAGCATACATCTCATAATAAAAATGATCATCTTCAGGAAGAGGATCATAGTGGCTGGTATCATCGTATAGAAAACAATGGCTGGAGGCCAGTTTCTGATACAGTAAGAAAAATGTTAATTTTTAATCTTATGTATTTAGAAACCCATTTGTATTTAATTTTAAAATAAATTTTAAAATTATTTTTTAAAATAATAAATCCTAGTAATTTAATTGATACATTTTGCTTAAGTTAGCTACTCGGGGGTTGCTAATAATACTTCAAGGCACAGCAATTTATCTTTTTATTACATTTAATTTTACTTCTAATTATCCACTTTGAATCTAGGCCATCTTTAGATACTCTCTGGTACTCAGCAGATTATATACTCAGTATGCGGATTGTAGAATGTGGTATGTTGAACATATTAACACTAAATATGGCCAGGCACTGTGGCTCATGCCTGTAATCCCAGCACTTTGAGCTGAGATGGCACCACTGCACTCCAGCCTGGGCAACAACGGAGTGAGACTCTGTCTCAAAAAAAAACAAAAAACAAAAAACAAAAAACAAAAAAACAAAAGAATATACCAAGTATGAAAAATAAAAATGATCAAGGTATGAATTCATTCATTTGTTTAATAAACTATTGCGTATCAACCATATACCAGACATTGTTCTGGATGCAGGGGATAGACTTAAGTAGTTTGCCTTTCAATTAGGGAGACAGTCAGGTAAACAGGATATTTCAGTGCAGTGTAGTAAATATGTTAAGTGGTTTTATAAGGGCAAATATATAGTGTTTGGAAGGATTAACAAACTCTCCTTATTATCTAGGGTATGTGTGATAGAGCAGGGGGATGAATATAGACAACTGGAGGGTGAATATAGACAACCAGTTAGGAGAAAGTGTCATAACAGAGAAACCACAAAGTCTTAGGACATGGTACAGGGACTTCTGCATTCCTGAAGGGTGGCTGTACTCCTTGAGAATTAGAGTCATCAAAAGCCATCAGCACTAAGAGTAGGTCAGGTCTATTCATATGAGAAGATGAGACACTCTTAGAATATATCTGTTTATCCATTCAACAAATACTTATTAAGTACCTCAGTACACTAGTACTTTGTTGGTCTATCTGTAGCATGTGCTTCTGAAGGCTGAGTGTACTACTCACCCATCACTTAATTAGAAATACCTTGAAAGTATCTATCCTCTCCTCTGTTTCTGTCTTGGCATATTCCTACTGAACACACAGAAGTTCTTTTCTATTGCCAGATAACCTCACAATCAATATTTCAACATTTTGTATATTCATTTTTGTTTCTCAATAGTTTTGGCTATCTACTGACAGTATAGTGGTAGAAGACAAAAAGGAAAGTGAATTCCATTTCTCTAAACTGAAGAGAAGGCAAGACTTGGAAAAGAAAAGAAAACTTAGAAAAATAGAGTGGATGAGGCAAATGTAAGTTGATGAAACACTTACTAAGGAAATATGTAGTACTTGGGGAAAAAAACAAATTTGAAATGAGGTATTGCTCCTCACAAGAGGGCATTAGCTGCAGGGGTCTGCCCACAGACCCTGACCCAAACAACGAATGAATAAAATGCACACTGACACACAGATATTCTGTTTTGCCCATCCTGCTGAGTGTCCGACTGCCTGCACTCCAAGAGAGGCTTGTCACTGCGGCTGGCCGCCGTCAGCTAGGGAGACTCATATTTATTCATTAAGATTAGTTAACAAAAGCTGAGTCAACGCCATTAGAGGGTAACTGACATTGTGGACTTCCCCAGTAAAAAGTACACATCAAAGGCTTTTCTTAAGACCACATGAGTAAACAAGCTAACTAGATAAAACTTCCCCACATCCCGTTGTTTACTACTTTAAACTTTTTAACTAAAGGTAACGGGACCAGGCCGCCTTCGGCCCGGTCTATTACCGAAGTCATGTGAAAACCCTTAGGCCTTCCAAAAAGGTTTTGTGGCCATCATAACTAATATTTTTCCCAGCAGCCTGATTGAATCCCAACATTGGAGAACTATACCGCCTGATTTCAAGACTTACAAAGCTACTGTAATCATGATATTGTAGTATTGGCATATAGACAGACATATAGGTCAATGGAACAGAATATAGAATTGTGAAATAAACCCCCATGTGGCTGGCCATGGTGGCTCACGTCTGTAACCCCAGCACTTTAGGAGGCCGAGGTAGGCGGATCACGAGGTCGGGAGATCGAGACCATCCTGGCTAACACGGTGAAACCCCGTCTCTAGTTAAAAGAAAAAGAAAAAAATTAGCTGGGAGTAGTGGCGGGCACCTGTAGTCCCAGCTACTCGGGAGGCTGAGGCAGGAGAATGGCATGAACCCGGGAGGCAGAGCTTTCAGTGAGCTGAGATCACACCACTGCACCCCAGCCTGGGCGACAGAGCGAGACTCCCTCTCAGAACAAACAAAAGTATCAAAGACAGAAAGTAGAGGTTACAAGGCTTTTTAAGGCGTTATATTGGAAGTCACAGCATTTATTCTGCATTCCGTTGGTCAAACTCAAGTCCTAACAGGCCTCAGGGGGTCAAGTAAAAGGTGGGACTCACAGGAAGTTCCATATACATTACAGCTTCACTTGCAGTACAGAGGGGAAGGGAAATCCTTCCGCCAGGATAGAACCTCAAGTAGCATACCTGGTTGTATATTGTGCCTGGAAGAAAAGATGGCCAGAAGTACAGATCTATAGATGGATGGTGACTGATGGTTTGCCTGGATGGTCAGGGATTTGGAAAGAACATGGGTTAGAAAATTGGTGACAAGTGGTCTGGGGAAGAGGTATGTGCAGACTTCTCCAAATGGGCACCAAGTGAGAAGATGCTTGTGTCCTATGTGAGTGCTCACCAAAGAACAATCTCAGCAGAGGAGAATCTTAATAATCAGGTGAGCAAGATGACTCAATTCCTTGGAATCAGTCTTTCCCCGCAGCCACTGCTATCCTTGCACTATCCAGCCTGGACGACAGAGTGAGACTCTGTCTCAAAAAAAATAAATAAATAAACCCCCATGTATATTGTTAATTAATTTTCAACAGAGGTGCTAAAGGGAACTTAATTGGGAAAAAATGGTCTTTTCAACAAATTGAATATTCAAATGCAGAAAAATGAAACTTGAGTGTTATCTTACAGTATGTGTAAAATTAACTGAAAAGAGATCATAGATCTAAATATAAGAACAAAAACCATAAAGCATCTAAAAGTAATTGATGGAGAAAATCTTAGTGTCTTTTGTTCTGGCCAAGATTTTTTAAAGAGGAAACAGAAGCTGGGAACTATAAAAAAAAAATTTTAAATTTTACTTCATCAAAATTAAAAGCTTTTGTTCTTTGACGTGTTACAAAAATAAAAATACAAGCCATAGACAGGGATAAAACATTTGCAAAATATATATCTGACAAAGGTCTTGAATCAAGAATATGTAAAAAAACAAAAAACAAAAAACACCTCTCAAACAGTCACATTTTAAAGTGGGCAAAAAATTTGAATAAACACTCCATCAGTGAAGATATATACATAGCAAATTAGCATAACTCAACCAGTGACTATCATTAATCATTAGAGAAGTGCGAACTAAAACGATAATGAGATACCACTACACACCCACTAGAATGACTGAAATAGTCTGTCATGCCAATTGTTGACAAGGATATGGAGCAAATGCCAATTAGTGTGTGTTCTTCAGAAAACAGTTTGGCAGGTTTTTTTTTAAGCAAGTAAACACACCAACTATTCTACCTAGTCATTCCACCCCTACATATTTACCCAATTGAAATAAAAATATGTCCACAGAAAGATTGTATGTGAATATTCATAGCTGGTTTATTTGTCATTGTAATAGCAAAAAACCAGCAACAGCACAAATGTGCATCAGCAGGTGAATGGATAAATAAGTGGTAGGATATCTGCACAAAGGAATACTACTCAGCAGTGCAACAGAATGAACTACTGATACACAGAACGACATGGACAAACCTCAAAATAATGCTGAATGAATTAAATCTGTCAAAAAAGAGTACATACTCTATGATTTCATATACATACAGTTCTAGAAGACATAAATCTGAAGCAACATAAAGCAGATCAGTAGTTGTCTGGAGATAGGAAAGAGGAAAGAGAGAGGGATTCCAGAGGAGTACGAGGAAACTTTGGAGGGTGATGGATAGATTCATTTTTTATGGTAGTGATGGATTTACAGGTATATGGACATGTCAGAACTGTACATTGTACAATTTAAATATGTGTAGTTTATTGTACATCAACCATACATCAGTAAAATAGTAAAATAAAAAAATTTAAAAATCTGTACAGAAAATCAGAAGACCTCCCTGGCAGCTCTGAAGTGGTCCTTTATCTCATAGCCGCAGCATGGGTTGAGGGCAACCCTCGGTTCCATTGCAAGGGTCACAGGATTACAATACCTACAGTACTACCAAATACTGCCAGGTCTATTGCACTAAGATAAGGGGAGAAGAAGTAGAACCCTGAGCCCTGGGATTAGGACATTTGGGCAAACATACACAAGGCTAAGAATCTTGAACTTCCAAAGTGCCTTGTTGGTGTAGGGAACCCTTGCTCTCCCTTTTGAGGGAAGCAGCGCAGCCCTTTTCTGCATAAAAGCCTTTCAGTGACTGCGCTGGCACAGTTGCTACACACACTTATGCTGATTCTCCTCAGGATTCCCCCTCCACTATTTCTCATTGCCTTTAGCTCACAAGGAGATTTGTATTTCAGGACAGCCCAGACAAAGGTACAGGGTCCACTCCAAGAGGAGATCGTTTATAAACCAGAAGTTACAAGAAATTACTAATCTATATTGCCAGGAGTCTCAGAAGCATTGTGTGAGGGTGGATTCTAAGGTTGTTAGATCAAGAGTTGGCTGAGCCAAATTTACTGATATGGCCATACTCACCTGGGATTGTGGATTTAATGTTTTGGCCAGAAATTATGTTAATGGTCTGTTAAGTTAGCTAATCAAAGCCTGATTTAGGTAGAGCCAACCAAAGCTCAACCTTTGCAAAATGCTGGAACTTCTCTGGTATACTGTAGTGTAGCAGGATTGATAAGGAATCAGAGAGACTGATGGGATTGAGGAGGATATTTATTATTTTAGGTGTACCGGCCCAGTGGGATTAACATCCAAAGGACTGAGCCCTGAACAGAGAGTTAAGTTACCTTCTAAGCACTTCATGGAGTTGGGGGAGATCTGTGCAGGGGGAAGCATGTTACAGAAGCGAGAAACCATAGTTAATTCAATTAATTGAGACATGCATTACATCATTTCTTACCTTTCAAGGAAAACATGTTTTATGACTTGAGTTTATTTGTCTAGTGACCTTGCAGCTGCACAGCTAGAGAAACAGGGTCTTTACAATGCCTGGGAAAGGAGGAGAGATAAGGCTCACTAGCCAGAGAAAAACAGGCAGTTAATTTTTAAAGCACTCCAGCTCTTTCTCCTTCTCAGAGGGAATTGGGTTTTCTTATGTACAGCTGAGTTTCTATTTACACATTCTTTAATTTTTTTAAATTCCTGTTCCATTAGAAAAAGGATTTCTAAAAGTTCAGGGAATTGTGTGTTTGTTTCTGTTATGTGCAATCTACTAAACCACCACCTAGCCATCACCCCAGGAAGTCCCAGGAGATACCTTTTTCATCAAGCTATGAAGTAATAGCTTGGTGAAGGGAGCAGCATATTTCTTTCTCTCTCTCTCTTTTTTTTTTCCTTTGAGATGGAGTCTGTCACCCAGACTGGAGTGCAGTGGCGCAATCTCGGCTCAGTGCAACCTCTGCCTCCTGGGTTCAAGCAATTCTCCTGCCTCAGCCTCCCGAGAAGCTGGGATAACAGGCATGCACCACCATGCCTGGCTAATTTTTTTGTATTTTTAGTAGAGACAGGATTTCACCATATTGTCCAGGCTGGTCTCGAACTCCTGACCTTGTGATCTGCCTGCCTGGGCCTCCCAAAGTGCTGGGATTACAGGCGTGAGCCACCATGTCTGGCCCAGGAGCAGCATATTTCTTGATGAACTCTGTGGTGGCTGTCCTTTACAAGGCTGGAGATGACAGTAGGGAAAGCTGTGATGGAACTGGTCCCTTTAGTTCACTGGGACTAATGGAACTTTGAAGTGGTTGAGTTCAGGTGATGACACAATTGCAGCGAGGCTTCCAGATGTGGCTTCTTCAACAGAGCAAATCAACACAGCGCCAGGTACCTGGTATGCTGCAGCTGACCTGGCAAATATGTTCTTTCCCATCCCGATCACTAAGCAATAGGAGAAGCAGTCTGCATTTTCATGGAAAGAACAGAGTGTGTTTTTACATCTTGCTCCCAAAAATATATCAGCTTTCCTGCTCTTGTCCCCAGGGGCTTGTACATCTGTTTCCATAGAACATTATGCCTGTCCATTACATTGATGACCT